TCGACGTCGACGTCGTGCTTCTTGCTGCGGAGAGCGAGCAGGAAGCCTACTTAACGAGGCCGATCCATTGAGGGTCAGGACCTGGATCACGTCCCTGACCTTGCTTTTGGTGCCCGCGTCTGTTGCGCAAAGCCCCTGCTGTCTCCACCTCCAAAAATTGACTACTCACTTGTGAAATCTGATCCTCGGGCTGTTGATTATGTAGGAATGGTTGATTTTGATACATGTAGAATTACTTCAATTATCATCAATTAGTTAATTAATTTATGGAAAAAAAATGATAGAGAATGGTTGATTGAGTTTTGCAGCTAATATTGCAACCTGTGAAATAAATTAAAGGAGTCAGTAAACCACATTTTAAAACATACCTTCATGCTTTGATTCTAAAGCAGAAAAACTGACACTGACAAACAATGCTCAACTGTGAGTTAAACACTTGTAAGTGTACAGTTTCATGCTTATTCAGTTGCCCTCACTGGCTTTACAGTAAAGTGAAGGTAGAGAAAGATTCCTTACCAGCTAACAGAAAATATTGCGTGGGTGCAAGTATAGGCCCAAGCCATCACGTTCCATTGGAGTCCAGGCTGGTAATGGACGATAGTCAATAAGGTTTTCAATTTTCAAAAGGTATGGTGGTGCTTCAAACAGGTTTCTTATTTTGTAAGAATTGTACCTATTACTCAAGCCTTCATTGACACATTCTTGTACAACAAGATACACTTTTGATGCATCTTTCACTTCAACAATGACATCAGCAATAAGTCCAAATTTAAATGGTTCATTTTGTGAAGGACAGACCACAAACAGTCCACAAGCATATTCTTCTCCCTTCACACTCACTGACTTTACAATCTTTACCTGATCATCCAACAGTAGGCCTTCACTAACTAGAATGTCACTGTAAATACTATTTTGCACAATTTCCTGGACGGAATCTGTACTACTAATAATAGTTTCAGGTTTTTTCTTTTGCAAAAAAGCATCAAATGTGCTAAGCTGGAACATTCTTGACATTGTCTTAATTATGTTCTTGAAGTTACTTTGAACTGCAGAATGTTTACGAAGAATTCTGTGACGTCCTTCATATCTGTACAAAATAGAGGGGAAAACATTTTAGTATCATGTGACAAGACAAAATAATAAATGATAGATAAATGGACTAGATTTTACCTTGCGCACCACAATCTTATTAGTGGCCCCTTTTCTCTAAATTGTTTGGGGTAGTGCAAAATATGATGAAGTTTATTGATGCCTTTTTTCAGTCTCTTGGTCTTATGAACAATTTTTTTTCTTTTCCTTCTAGAAGCAGGTGCAACTTGACTAGCACCAGAGTTGTCATCAGGCTCAGATTCATTATCATCAGTGTTTGGATCATCAACATTTTCTTCATTCTCTTCATTGTCACTAGAAGGCCCTTCAGGGGCTGGGGCAGGGGCTGCTCCAGAGGCTGCCCCAGTGGGTGGCAGTGGAGGCGGCCCTGGAGGCGGCACAAACAGTTCATGGAACAAACTATTGTGTTGAGCAATGATCATTTCCAGCTGATCCACATCTCTTGGCCTCACTTGGGAAGAAAACACTATCCGCATAATGTCTTGCAAAAGAAACACTAGTTCCAAAAATCTGTCATCTTCAGCAACACCTTTTATTAAAAAAGGGAAGATACGCAGGAGACAAAATGTTTGAGATCCATTTTGCTTGAGCGTATGACCTTCGCCATAAAGTCTTTCATTTGTAATATTAGCTGATGGTTTGTTTTTAATTTCTGGACTTCCATAGGAAAATGCAACAATGTTAGCATTAAAATAAAAGACTGTAAACAGTTTCTTCACAAGGATAAACTCGTACAAAACCAACTTCAGAACCATTTGTGCTACACCAACAAAATCATGGAAAGCATCCATTACACTGTCTTCCGGCACTCTCAGAACACTAGCCAAAGCACTTTCTTCATTGACACCATAGGCACTCCTCAAAGTTGGGTCTCTTTCAACATCTGCAACATGTTGCTTGTGAGTTTCTGATGTACGAAGTGGACCAATTGAATTGGAGCTTTCTTGAAGATCAGTCAAGGAAAGCAAGCAGAGGCGACAAAATTTCATTGCAGAACACCCCATAAATCCAAAAAGGGCGTGCGCAGCTAAAGAATCAGCACAAAAGCACACCAGACATGCCCGTATAATAAAAGTACCTCCTTCTGGAAGGGTTATTTCTACGCCTTCATCAGACTGAAGTTTCTTCAGATCTTCCAAGAGGGGAGTAAGAATTTTCTTGAAAACCCCTTTGTCCTTCAAATCTTCTGAATAAGCCATTGCCAATAAGAATATTGATGAAAGTTTTGAATTTTCTTCGGCAGGTAAATTTTGAATTCTTATATAGAATGGTCCAATTTTGTGAATGACATCTTTGGACCCCATTCCATTGGCAGTTTCAAGATCATCATAATTTAGTTCAATCCTAAAAGCAAAAGGGTACTTCTGAAGAAATGTGTTATTCTTGAAGTCAGTTCCATCCTTGTATCCTCTAGAAATGCCATCAGTACTCTCTTTCTCAGATAAAATCAATTCTCTTAAATACTTGTTCCGGGCAATCAGAGTTAAGGTTCCAATCAATGAGAATGACTGAAATGTTTGAGAAACTTGTTTAGGTAAAAACATTTTGCTGGTCCTATCCAGCCTATGCTCAATTCTGCTTGATAAATACATTTCCTCTGGTTTTACAAGACCATACTTCTCAGAAAAATAGTCTAATTGTTTATCAGTTGTTTCCAGACCCTGAAAAGGATTACCAATCTGAAATGTTTCTGAAAGAAATTTTTCAGAAACAATCTCATTAACTCTGTTCTCTTCAAGAAAATTTTTGGTTTTTCTTTTAAAATGTGCAGCAAGAAGAGAAATTAAGTTTGAAGTAAAATTTTGAATCAGTTCAACAGATGCATTTGTCAAATTTCCTGATGATCTTAACTTCAAAAGAAATTTAGCAGCTTCATCTTGAAAGTCAATTTCTTCATTAACTTCATCCCGACCACCTTCTTCTTCATGTTCAGAAAATGTATCTGAACGATTATTTGACACATTCTGCTGTTCTCTTGAATTATTGTGAGATTCAGGAGAATTCGTCTCCATGCTCTCACCATTATCTTCTTCATCATCAGAGTCGAGATCTTGACATGCATTTACATGAATTGTGGTAATGTGTCGGACCAATGAGGTTTGATGACGAAACTCAGATTTACACTGGCCACAAAGAAGAATTACTTTATCCCTGTGCAGGCGCTGCCAATGTTTTTTTAACTCTTCTAGGTCATCAAAATATGTTGCTGGATCACAGTGGACACACAGCAGATATCGCTTCCTCTGAACATCTGTGTTTGACAAAAGAGCACATTGTTATAAATAATCTAAAGCAGAGGACATTAACACTTACAAATGTCGGTTATAAGAAATCTTTACCTCTGGATTCCATAGCTGTTATATTTTTCGCTTATTGTAGTAGTATCTTTTCAGCATGACAACATAGTGGCATTAAAACAGTGAAAAATCAGCACTCTAAAAAACAAATAGAGGGAAAAAAAATTGTATTACTAATAATGTACTTAGTCTCCTCAGATTAGGTGGTTCACTTCAGCTGAGGCTGTGGTTCTTAAGATGATACGCTTGAAAAATTAACAAGCCCCATCACATTGAGAACGGCAGACTCAGCAGATAAAAAAGTGCCTCAGAAAATGAAATAGAATTCTCTATGACTTAGGAACATGAACATAATATAAGCTAACCTCACCTGTGAATGAAAAAAACATGTTTGCAATTGCTTCACGATACTAGTAAAGCCTAATCAATCTTTAAATGCATAGTTGCATTAACATTCCAAGTAAGAGGTTCGACACTAAAGGTAAGTGGTACCTGAAAACCAAAAAGCTTCAAGAAAATAGTTGACACTCGAATTACTAGACAGAACAAGTAAGCAATAGAAAATTCAATATTATTTTACATTATTGCTGAATAGAAGTGAGGTTAAAGATGAGGTTGTTAAAAGTTTTTTGAAAACCTTTGCTCAGGAATGAACGCCTGGGCTGGGAGTGCCCCACCTGCAAAGAAGGCCAAAGTTATTCCCAAACATTTTTATCTTAGCAAATGGTGTTAAAACAATAAAAAATAACAAAACACCTCACCTTTTCTCAAGAATTTCTCTGCAAACATTTCTCCCGTTTTAAGGATATGAAAAGAAGCGAACGCCGCACGAGACACACAACAACTGATGAGAAATTCAGTAGTGAATCTCGAAAAAAAAGGCGGATTGCAATTCCTTTCGAATACTTATGAGAAGTTGTGAATGCAGCAGGCAGGCGGAGAGGCGGAGGCGAGTCGGTGCATGCCCCCCCCCCCTCGCCCCTTCCCGACTCCTTCCCCCACTCCCTCCCTCTCTCATTCGCGCCTGGCCGGAGCCGCCCGAGCTCGGCGCCTGCCATGTTCTGGGTAGGCAAGCCTGCTAAGCACGCCACAGAAAATGTTTGCCTACCCACCAGGCGCTTGAAGCTGGAATGCAAGTTACTGTGCAACAATTGTGTGTCCAGTAAGGACAATTTTGTCACTAGCGAAGGAAAGATTGCTTGTTCACCACTCTGCGGACAATTTTGTCCATGGATTCAAAGACAATAAAAGTTGTAACTAGGCTATGGACAAAATTGTAACTAGTTAGTTACAACTCAGTTGTAACGGAGTCTATGGACAAAAAATTGTCCATGGCCATTTAGAGTGTACATGCTCCGGAGGGATATATACCCTCGTCCGGCGCGCACCTATCGTACTCGCTTCGGCGGTACATATACTAAAATTGGAACGATACAGAGAAGATTAGCATGGCCCCTGCGCAAGGATGACACGCAAAATCGTGAAGCGTTCCACATTTTCGTCTCGTTGGTGTCGCTTGTCTTTCCTCGTCCCGCCACCCCGTGCACAAGAAAGACACGCACGCCAGGAACGAACAAGCCCCTA